TCTCTAACCCAAATGGTTAGTATAAAGCTGTAGGGCCGCACAATACCCATAATCCTATCCTTAACCCTAATCTCAACAATGACCCTAATTATTATTTTTTTTTTTTTTTTTTTGAAACTCCATACGAAACCGCATTGTCTTTTATTATAAAAACCCACTATCCCACAACATTTTCCATCAATGAGACTGAAGGAAGAGGGGGGGGGGGGGGTCTTTAAAAAACTGAAGTCGATAAAAAACAGAGGATCATACGGCTGTAATATCCCGCCAACAGGGAAGCCAGATCCACGTGTAATGCAATGTCAGACATGAACTTAATCAATAAAATAGATGGAACCTCAAGGCAAAGAAGAAAAAACGAGTGTCGTAATGAGAAAGACACGAGAATACCCCAGTGGTTCTCAAACTTTGTGGAGTGGCGAGCCCATTTTATATTACTTTTATACGACCCCAATTCTTTAAAAAAATCAAAGGAATAGGAAACATTGAAAATTATATATATATATATATATATATATATATATATATATATATATATATATATATATATATATATATATATATATATATATATATATATATATATATATATATATATATATATATATATATGAATTAACCAAATATGACTTATTTCAATAAAGAGCTTATAGGCCTACATATAGATATAGATATACAATGTTTTGGGGTGTGGGTTGCGGTGCACACCTCCGAGTGTTTGTGTTTGTTTCCGTTGCTCTTCACAAACACGCCAGGGGTGTGTCAGTCAACAGACAGCCGAGGTTTGAGTTATCGGTGCCATCATAAATAAGCACCAGACAAGTGTGGAACACCAGCCTGACGTGAGCCGGGCAGACGACACGGGCCACGTTACCCATCCGTCGTCTGCTCGAGGGTGGGCGTGTCTGGGTTTTTTTTTTTTTTGTTCAACGGCATACTGTTACGTCGCTCAAGGCAACGGGGTAAGTAAAGTGTACCCTTTTTTAGCCTGAAGGTCTAAGGGCAGGTGAAGTAGAGTTCACCTGTTTCTATAACCACGTTATATCTAGGGATAGTGTGGTAAGCTCAGTCGCCTTTACTTATCTAACGTGAGTTAGATAGGCATCATAGCTGGGTGGACTAAGGGGCGTTCTAATCGAGACTTTCTGGTTAGCAGTCTAGCGCTCTACCGCTAGGCCACGCCGTCCCATAAGAAAGGAACACGGCTATTTGGTTTTATTTTCATTTATTTTTATTCACTTTTTTTCCTTCCCTCCATAAAAAAAACAGATACACTCAATGAGCGACACACATAGACCATAAACAGATGATTGAATAGTTTTAAACCCACCAAAAATAGAACACCCCAAACAAAGCCGATCTATTTTTGGAGCAGTCCAAAGTCTTTGTCTCGCGAAAAACAAAAATTACCAGCCCCGCTTTAAAAGAATTAACCTTTTTTTTAATTTCTTAATCAGCCACGCTAATAGTTCTTCTAGCAGAAATGTTGAAGAATGGGCGTGACGGTGGCCGTAGAGTCATGCACGCACCGACATTCTAAATGAATATTTGATGTCCAAAAACATTTTACGCAATTTTTTTTAAAATAACATTTAAGCACTTTTGAAATAACACAACATTTTTTTTTTTGAGAGCGGGTGGAATAGAATGTCTGGTTTATGAGAAGTTGTGTGTCTCAACTTATAAAACAAAAGTTGGTTCAAGTTCTTATCAAATCATAGAAACATTGCAATATAAACATTTGTGTTTCATTATTTAAGGTGAACCCAATTAAAGTTTGAGTATCACTGAAGCAGACAACACACTCGCCACTCTATAGAATCACAAGCTTGTAGCAGCTTCTTAAAACACAGCGGCGTGTCGAGCTGTTGGCATGGTACGGAGCCACCACTAATGTAGACAACACACTCCCCACTCCACAGAACCACATGCTTGTAACAACATCCTACCTAAAACACATCGCCACAGAACCCCATGCTTGTAACAACATCCTACCTAAAACACATCGCCACTCCACAGAACCCCATGCTTGTAACAACATCCTACCTAAAACACATCACCACAGAACCCCATGCTTGTAACAACATCCTACCTAAAACACATCGCCACTCCACAGAACCCCATGCTTGTAACAACATCCTACCTAAAACACATCGCCACAGAACCCCATGTTTGTAACAACATCCTACCTAAAACACATCACCACAGAGCCCCATGTTTGTAACAACAGCCTACCTAAAACACATCGCCACAGAACCCCATGCTTGTAACAACAACCTACCTAAAACACATCGCCACTCCACAGAACCACATGTTTGTAACAACATCCTACTAAAACACATCGCCACTCCACAGAATCCCATGCTTGTAACAACAGCCTACCTAAAACACATCACCACAGAACCACATGTTTGTAACAACAGCCTACCTAAAACACATCGCCACGCCACAGAACCACATGTTTGTAACAACAGCCTACCTAAAACACATCGCCACAGAACCCCATGCTTGTAACAACATCCTACCTAAAACACATCGCCACGCCACAGAACCACATGTTTGTAACAACAGCCTACCTAAAACACATCACCACCCCACAGAACCCCATGTTTGTAACAACATCCTACCTAAAACACATCACCACCCCACAGAACCACATGTTTGTAACAACATCCTACTAAAACACATCGCCACTCCACAGAACCCCATGCTTGTAACAACAGCCTACCTAAAACACATCACCACAGAACCCCATGTTTGTAACAACAGCCTACCTAAAACACATCACCACAGAACCCCATGCTTGTAACAACAGCCTACCTAAAACACATCGCCACTCCACAGAACCACATACTTGTAACAACAGCCTACCTAAAACACATCGCCACTCCACAGAACCCCATGCTTGTAACAACAGCCTACCTAAAACACATCGCCACTCCACAGAACCCCATGCTTGTAACAACATCCTACCTAAAACACATCGCCACAGAACCCCATGTTTGTAACAACATCCTACCTAAAACACATCACCACTCCACAGAATCCCATGTTTATAACAACAGCCTACCTAAAACACATCGCCACGCCAGAGAACCACATGCTTATAACAACAACCTACCTAAAACACATCGCCACGCCAGAGAACCACATACTTGTAACAACAGCCTACCTAAAACACATCACCACTCCATAGAACCACATGTTTATAACAACAGCCTACCTAAAACACATCGCCACTCCATAGAACCCCATGCTTGTAACAACAGCCTACCTAAAACACATCGCCACAGAACCACATGCTGGAACAACTTCCTACTAAAACACATCGCCACAGAACCCCATGCGTGTCGAGCTGTTGACATGGTACGGGTCCTAGAATGGCCAGCACCGGCAGATCGCCCTTATTAAAATTCCGCTCATCACAGAGTAAACACGGCGGCTCACTGATGTTTGCTTACCACATTCCACATACACCTGCTCATAACCGTCTGGGCTTTAGCGGGGCGTAGCTTATATTCACACTCAACCACCTATACCCACAACTACTTTTGTGCCGTACCCACAGCCATCCATACTAGTAGGCTTTAGTGTATTTAACCACCATTTACCCTTATCATCCCGATATTTGGGCATTAGTGTATTCGACACACGTATACCCATAGCCATCCATATTTGTGGGCATTAGTATGCTCAATAAACATCCACACATTGGACCTGTAGTGTATTCAACCACCTATACCCATAACCATCCCGACTTTTGTAGTGTATTTAACCACCTATACCCATAACCATCCCGACTTTTGTAGTGTATTCAACCACCTATACCCATAACCATCCCGACTTTTGTAGTGTATTCAACCACCTATACCCATAACCATACAGACTTTTGAGCTGTAGTGTATTCAACTATTCTACAGACATTATAAAGACGTATAGACCTCCATGCATATAACTACACAGACGCCGGTATTATTGATCAGCTCAATCTATTCCTGGTCAACTGTCTAAAAAAATCTAAACCAATCCATCTTATATCTAGAATTAAAAACTCTACGGCGAAACGACTTCTCCGCTATTTCCTCAAATGGACTCCATACTTATGCCACACCTAAACCTTAATCATTACCCTAAAGTAATGTCAGCCTTATAATTACAGCATAGCACTCTAGCCGATAACTCCTCAAACTTCTAAAATTAGCCATACGATCACCATATTCGACCTCCGAAAGAAAGAGTACTAAGAAACCTTAAGCACAGTACAGACTCAAGATGTCTAGATCTAAATAGTAGATAAGGAATTAGAATACAACGTTTTATATATCTTTCCTCAACAAGCTAAAAATTCCGGGCCGATATATTGTATTATTAACAAAGACGAAATATAATTCTTCACTTTAAACCACTTTTAACCACCTTCAACACTCACTACAAAAAAAAAACTTTCATCTTGCAAGCCAATGTCGCTCTACAAGGACATAAAAAACCTATGCTAAATCATGGCTGGTAATTAACGTTTAGCACGCGATGATCACCCAAGGCGTGTGTGAATGTAAAGGTGATGGTTTATTAGGCCTGGCTCGCCGAAGGTGGCTTTAATGTCCATTAGCACTTACGTAATAAAGTAACACCGGCAAGGGTTAAGAAAATACATATGGTGTGATCTAGACAAGATAGATCTGTACGCTCTCGTTCATTCGTTCATAGGATTATACAGTCTAGTGTCTAGGTTTATGTCGGGATTCAATTAGGATTGGGATCATGACAAGTGTTATGTTAGCGATTTCAACACACACACACATATATATATATATATATATATATATATATATATATATATATATATATATATATATATATATATATGTATGTATATATATATATATATTATATAATTGATAACAAGGATACGTAAGCTATAAAAGAATTGAAAACGGTGGTCAAAAACGAAAAAAAAAAAGAGCAACGATTTTAGAATACATATGAATTATTAAACTCACCTTCACAATACTAAATCTAATATCTAAAACAAACTAATTTTTTAATCAAAAGAAGAAAAAAACACGAGAATCTGACACAGGTCTAAGAAATATTGAACAAACACAAGCGCTATAATCCGATATTGTATTATAGAATGAGTCTACACTCCTTGCACTAGAAGCAGTACACCAGTACACTTTAAGACCGTGTCTATTGTCCTAAACAGCTACACCACTAATAACTATGCCGCCTAGATCTATCACCATTTACACAAACAAGACTAATGTCTTTCTCTCACTTCAGCCAATACCAGAAATAACACAAGGGAAACTACTCCATCGGCTTATATTTAAACTAGTTAATAGCCTCCCTTTACGACGTCGCCGTCACGGAAACACATCACATAATCCTACATGTAGCATGTAGATATTTAAAAAAGTAACAGCCCCACACACACACACTGACAGACGGTGGTGCGTCAGTTGATAAAAACCACCGAGTGAATCGACGTCTGAGCAATGCTTCCTCCCTCTCTTTCTCTCCCTTTAACTCCACGCATTTCTCTCCCTTCCTTCCTCCCACCACCCTTCCTCTTTTTCCCCTCGCAATATTAAAACCTGCCACCATTATTGCTTCCCCACCCTCTCTCCTCAATTTCCCTTACTCTCAAACCCACCCCCGCTTTCTGGAATTTAACGATTTTTTTTTTAAAACATACAGATATAAAGTATCATTGAAAACACGGAAGAAAAAACCCAGTAAAGAAAACCCGATTAATTATCCTCAAGATGGCCGACTATAGTCACGTGAGTGCTGCAGTGTCTGTGACCGAGGATTCACGTGACGTTTATTTAGAATCGATAGTTCCAGCAGAGGGCGATGGGTGGGCGGCAGTTGTTATTTTTTTATCGCTGGGCTTAACGGTATGGGTCACCATGTCTTGGTGATTAGACCGGCACGTTCATTGTGAGGGTGCTGTCTCATTAGACAAGTCTTGGGGTGTTGGGTTTTTGATTGTCTTAAGCCAAGTCATTAGGCTGTTTTATGTGCATTCATTTATACTTAAGCCATGTCATTAGGTTTAGTTTTATGTACATTTATACTTAAGCCATATCATTAGGCTTTGTTTTATGTACATTCATTTATACTTAAGCCATATCATTAGGCTTTGTTTTATGTACATTCATTTATACTTAAGCCATGACTTAGTTTTATGTACATTCATTTATACTTAAGCCATATCATTAGGCTTTGTTTTATGTACATTCATTTATACTTAAGCCATATCATTAGGCTTTGTTTTATGTACATTCATTTATACTTAAGCCATATCATTAGGCTTTGTTTTATGTACATTCATTTATACTTAAGCCATGACTTTGTTTTATGTACATTCATTTATACTTAAGCCATATCATTAGGCTTTGTTTTATGTACATTCATTTATACTTAAGCCATGACTTTGTTTTATGTACATTCATTTATACTTTTAAAATATTTCCTTTTTTTTTAAAGAAAAAAAGGCGTACGCAATGATGACTAAAACAGGAATGTCTAAATTACGAATGGAACAAAAATTTTAAAATGTAAGAGACAAGACTAATTTTTAAATTAATTGTAACTTGATTTTTGAAATGTGTTTTGAACAAAGGCCTATGTTTGTAACGCATTTGCTGCGTGTATGGTGTGTATGTGCTTGTAGTCTTGAACATCTTGTTGAAGTCAATTGATATTGTGAGCTAGATCTACCGGAAATCGGTAAAAAAATAATGTATAATAGTCACAAATAAGAGCAGATAAAGTAGAGTACATGTATGTGCCTGTTGTGTTGCCTATACTATCCCCAGCTGCTTTTATACTCTACACCCAACACTAACCAATTCTAACAACTTACTATTTCAGTGTAAGTCCCTCAAAAAAAAAAAGAGGAAATTCGTCACAGGATTATATTTTACATCTCGCCCCCACCCCCATCCCACTCTTTGAATCCCGTGACCCTCTCATGAAGACACGGGTACGTGCCACTTAGCCTCTCTGTCCCAACACTCAAGATGTTTGGCTAACTAGCGGTATTCACGGGGGTCACATGCTACGCCGGTAGCCAATCAAAGACGTTTTTTTATTTTAAAACTACAGGCGAGTGAAAATACACCAAAAGATGAAAAGAGAAACGTCATCTCGACATGATGGACAATAGACAAAGACATTCCATTACAAATATCGCAGGGGACAGTTTAATTAGCACTTAATGACGACTACACTATAAAACGCTATCTACTGGCACTAAAAGAAAGGGAAAAAAATCAAGTTGTGTAATAGATTTGCTGCACTGACAAACTAATTAAAAAACAGGATTCCTGAACGGCAGCATATCAGGTGTGAAGACAATTAGTCTAGAAAATCTCTCGAGAAAAAATGCTGTGGAATTTATTTATTTTTTCTAATTTCTTTTTTTTTTTTTTTTTTTTTTTTTTTTTTTTTTTTTTTTTTTGCTGAAAACAAAATTAAGTGCAATCTAAAAATAGAGCAAACGTGTAAACAACTGCATTTTTTAAAACCGTTAAAAAAATCGTGTTTAAAAATTAAACAAACAACGGTGGCTTTGCGATAATTGCTCCCGACTAGCTATGTGTAAACCAGTAGATAGAAAGAGTACATTTAGAAGCGAAAAACGGAAGTTTGGATTCTAATGACTTAAGTAAACAAAGTTGAGAAGGAAAGAAGAGAGGAAGGTTTAAAGAGGCGTGAATATAGGGGAGGGCTGGGTTTAGATATGGGGACATCTAAGGTAGTATTTGAATATTGTGTGGACTGCCTTGTGATAGGGAACATCTAAGACAGTACTTAAATATAGCGCGGACTGAGTTTAGATATGGGTCATCTAAGGTAGTACTAATATATAGTGTGGACTGGGTTGAGATATGGGGACATCTAAGGCAGTATTGGAATATACTGCGGGCGAGGATTTAACATGGAACATCTAAGGTAGTACTAATATACAGTGTGGAGTGGTTTGTGATAGGGATCATTTAAGGCAGTACTTAAAAATAGCGAGAACTGAGTTTAGATATGGGGACATCTGAGGTAGTAGTAGAAGAAAGTGTGGAATGAGTTGAGATTTGGGAACATGTAACACTTAAGGCTATAATAGAATATCGCAAAAAATGGGTTTTGATAACGGCTGTACTGTTGCTCGTGTGACGACTTCGAAATAAAAACAGATTCAGCGTTCCTAAAGGTTCTCAAACACGGGTTGGGGAAAGGCCTGAATTTGACAATGTTGGAGTGGAGTCAGGAGACATGAAAAGTCCTACTGACGTTTGAGACTCCCTGGGAAATGTTTAACTTCAAGCCCTGCTCCCTTTAAAGTCTCAAGCTTATTAAAAACGCGCCGGGGCTCCCGACGAATGCTATTTCCTGTTCGTTAGGGATGGATAGGCTCGCCAGGCTTGGGCTGATTGACAGGGCGCAAACCTTCGCTTGTCTCAACATTTGGTAGCCGGCACCACATACTGGTGACCTCATACACCATACTGGTGACCTCATACACCATACTGGTGACCTCATACACCATACTGGTGACCTCATAAACCACCTCATATATTGGTGACCTCATACACCACACATCACCACACATACTGATGACCTCATACACCACACATACTGATGACCTCATACACCACACATACTGATGACCTCATACACCACACATACTGATGACCTTATATAACACTCATACTGGTGACCTCATATAACACTCATACTGGTGACCTCATAAAACCACACATACTGATGACCTTATACACCACACATACTGATGACCTCATACACCACACATACTGATGACCTTATACACCACACATACTGATGACCTCATACACCACACATAGTGATGACCTCATACATCATACTGGTGACCTCATACACCACTTCATATATTGGTGACCTCATACACCACTTCATATATTGGTGACCTCATACACCACTTCATATATTGGTGACCTCATACACCACTTCATATATTGGTGACCTCATACACCACACATACTGATGACCTCATACACCACACATACTGATGATCTCATTCACCACACATACTGGTGACCTCATACACTACACATACTGATGACCTCATACACCACACATACTGGTGACCTCATACACCATACTGATGACCTCATACACCACAAATACTGATAAGCTCATGCACCACACATACTGATGACCTCATACACCACACATACTGATGACCTCATACACCACACATACTGATGACTCCATACACCACACATACTGGTGACCTCATACACCACACATACTGGTGACCTCATACACCACACATACTGGTGACCTCATACACCACACATACTGATGACCTCCTACACCACCTCATATATTGGTGACCTCATACACCATACTTGTGACCTCATACACCATACTGATGACCTCATACACCACACATACTGATGACCTCATACACCACACATACTGATGACCTCATACACCACACATACTGATGACTCCATACACCACACATACTGGTGACCTCATACACCACACATACTGGTGACCTCATACACCACACATACTGGTGACCTCATACACCACACATACTGATGACCTCCTACACCACCTCATATATTGGTGACCTCATACACCATACTTGTGACCTCATACACCATACTGATGACCTCATACACCACACATACTGATGACCTCATACACCACACATACTGATGACCTCATACACCACACATACTGATGACCTCATACACCACACATACTGATGACCTCATACACCACACATACTGATGACCTCATATACCACCTCATATATTGGTGACCTCATACACTACGCATCACCACACATACTGATGACCTCATACACCACACATACTGATGACCTCATAGACCATACTGATGACCTCATACACCATACTGATGACCTCATACACCACACATACTGATGACCTCATACACCACCTCATATATTGGTGACCTCATACACTACGCATCACCACACATACTGATGACCTCATACACCACACATACTGATGACCTCATACACCACACATATTGGTGACCTCATACACCACCACACATACTGATGAC